AAAACAAACAAATAAATCTTCTACATGTTACACAAGAGACGGCTTCGAAATACGAAATATATTTGCTCATATAAGATAATACGTTCTAGACCATGATCAATGAGTATCGGAGTTTCGAGAAAGAGCAGCTCTCATTTAACAAAATTGTGTAGCATTTTCTTTATGTAAGTTACTCTCTTCAACAATCTTATATTTTGACCAACATGTGTATTTTTCATAATGTGATTTTATGAATGTTTATCATGTATATAAGTATGCACATGTGTATATGGATGAAACATATAAACACAGACTTTGATTAGTAAAATATTTAAGCACACTGGAAGACAAACAATCTAACTGAAATGTAGTTAAGATAAAATAAAGAAGTTTAAAATAGAACAAAATGCAAACCAAAACATCTTTACAAAGCTGGTTGGTGGATAAAGAAGCAGTACAGCACAGGTTAGTGTTCACTTTCTTAAAGCTGAGACAAATATCTCTGAAAGTGTCAAACTAGTCTCACAACTCGCATTATTTTTATAGCTGACCAGTCAGAAATTGAATTACATGAATCCGGAAGTATCGCTATTCCGTATAAAGCTGTAAGGTAGCCTCACGTTCAGACTGATTTTGAGTACAATACAACCATCATTTGAAACAACATCCTTGAATAACTCATCTCAAAGAGAGTAACACCTAGGGGTGAATTAGCACATCACCTTGGCAAGGTTTACCAGTTTAAGAGCTCAAATTGTCGAAATAAAGTGTTACTATTTTAAAGATATTCTACAGGTTAATGATATATGTGGTATCTGCATATTACACCTTCTTGAAATAATTTTTATTCTGCTTTTAAGTTTCAAAAAATTTACCTCACCCCACAAGAATACTGTCGCTTCAAAATAACATATAATTCTTCCACTGTGTGCTTTTAAGTTAAAACACAATAAAAAGTGATTTTCTAAGCTAACAGAGAATTTATATACTGTCTCTAGGTGTAAACACACCAATATAAAAGGAAACGTTTTTAAATTAACAAAGTTATTAAAAATTATGAATTTTAAAATGAAGTAAGGATTCGGCTGTAAAAGTATTAACAAGTATGAAAACCACAAATAACAAATTTATAAAATTTAATCCCTACTTTGTCAGATTTATACACATATCTGTAAGCCAAAGTAAGTATTAAATTTTATAAATTTGTTTCACTACTTTTTACTGCAGAATCCTTATTTCATTTTAAAATTCATAATTTTTAATGCTCTTGTTTGTTTATTTGTTATGTTATACCTGTATAAAGTATATACTTTACCTTTAGAAACTGTCGTGTGCCTATCCATCGATATGTATCACCATCCGTTGGGTTGAAAAGATATTTAAGTACAGGCATGATATGTTTACCATTTATATTATACTGTATATATATATATATATATATATATATATATGGATTTTTATCTGAGTATCAAAAGTGGATACCCACAGACCAGTCAAGTAAGCTGGATGAATCATGAAGCAATAGTCCGAGCCATCTAGATGCTAGCCCTGCTGACGTGATCAGATAGGTAGGTAGTAGACTAAAAAGTTGCTGTTTTTGGAAATTTTAATTGTTATGGCGGAAATGTTAGCGACCTTTTTAGCGTATTATTACTATATATGCGCATAATATATCGTAACCAATACTTTGAATGGTCAGCTTTTCGCTTAGGAATTCGGTAGGGTGGTTTTTTTGGGGCGTGAATTATTTAGAATCATTGTCGATTCCTACTATTAAGTACTACCGTACTTAAAATGCCAGAATACTTTACGGATAAGTCTCTTAGTTTTTAGAATACATAAAATGTTAGATTGTTTGTTTGTTTTTTAGAGCAAAGCCACATTGGACTATCTACTGTGTCTATCGCGGGGAATCGATCTATTCGTTTCTTAAATGTTTCTCGGTAAGCACAAAGCTACACAATGGACTATCTGTGCTGCGCCAACCAAGAGTATCGAAACGCGATTTTTAGCGTTGTGAGCCCTCAGACTAACCAATGAGCCGCTGGGGTACCCACGTCATGTTAGAAAATAAAGATTTATATTTCAAGTTTGCTGAGTTTACAATAGCACATCTTTAATTTCAGGTTATCTGTGTTCCAACAGTAAGGCTTAGTGGTTGATTTCGGTGATATCAAATAGTTTTATTTGAGGTATTCAAATATTCTCTTTTAAAAGTCGTCTTGGCATTTAGTGTGTGTAGGCCTACTATAAAACACATTTGTAACAGAACATTAATACACTGAAAATAACTATTGTATTTCATTTTTACATCAAGAGCTAATCAAAAAGAAATGCACATTAAAAGATGATGATATGATTTTTAGTTACGTTCATCAATTCAAAATTAATGTAGTTTCTAGTTACATTTTTTTTTTGTTTATAGTTAAGCACAAAGCTACGCAATAGACTATCTGTGCTCTGCCAACCACGAGTATCGAAACCCGGTTTCTAGCGGTATAAGTCAGCATCCATACCTCTTTGCTACTGGGGTAGACAGAGCATTATTAAAATATCATGTGACAGACCTCAAAAGAAGTTGCTGATAAACAGTTCATGGTGCTATTAATTCTTGAGAGTTAGTTCTAAATTACGTCTGCATCAGGCTTTAGTAAGAGACAGTTCATACAGTTCAAAATGTAAACTTTGCAATGAATTTTAATGTAGTTTTTCTTAACTTTTTGGTAATGAATATGTAATATAATGTTGTTTTATTTAAACTCCAGACAGTTTGATGCTTCTTACACTCACTCATCTCCCAGATATTATCACAGAACCTTTCTGGCCTTGTCTACTGAATTTTAGTGTGATTCTAAATAGAACACTTTTATTGACTGAAAGAATATTTCCTTTATTATTTTCTGAAACTAGTGTTTCTCCTCTTCAGAAACATATCCCTGAACCAAGTGTCTACTCTTGTTAAGCTACAGGGAAATACTTAGTTGACAGCTAAATTATAAGAGCATGACAAGCAAAACTTGAACCATAGATGCAGTGGATATGAAAGCTGTACACTATTGTAGTAGCGGCAAATCGTGAGCTGCGTGAATACTGGCACTTTTTTGTTCATAATTACATTTAGATACTTATAAGCTCGGTACCTTTGCACAATTTACCTCATTATCAATTAGATGTATTTTGTTGCTTACTCATTACAATTAGTGATGTATGCACATAAATCAAGATAAAATCAAACAAGTGTATTTTGTTGCTTACCAATTATAATCAGTGGTGTATGCACACAAATCAAGATAAAATAAAACAAAGTGTTGCTCACAAATGACAACAACAATAAACTCACTTTTGATGATGAGCTGAGAGCGAATTGAGCCAACAAACCCGCTTTAGGCAAGTCGATGAGGAGCAGGAAGAAAGGTATAGCTTCACTAAAAGTAGATCAAAATTCATGTCTCAGTGACATTAAAATTTACGATTCTAACATATACACTATAATTAACAACAATATGAAAACATTCAACAGACTACTGAATGGAGTGATATTTTCATGAATATGTATGATACCACAAATAGAATTCAAACATTATTATAAACCAAGAGAAATAGAACCCCCACAACGGTAGGTACAGATATACAGTCTGCCCTCCCATGTAAAGAAATTATACATATATATATATATACAAACATTATGAGAGCATGTGATTGCTTAAGACCACAACATTCTCCATCTAGATGAAGGACTAATAATTACTAAAAGGTGAAAAGTCCATAAATTTATAGCGAAAGTTCTCGATTTGTACCAAAATATTTCAACTGATACATTCCTATTTTATGTCTAAATCTAAGTAATACGTTTGTGTATCAGATATCACAGTATTTCTAATTCAGCAGAACATATGAAAATGATAATAAAAACGATTATTTAACTTAATAAACGTATATATATAAATAAATATGAAGTAAAAGTGCTTTTCATAAACGAGTTTTCATAAAAATATATAAGTTAGCATGATTAAAAAATAACAAATAGTTAGCATACACAGAGATACCAACTACCTGTACAATGGTACAGTGGTATGTCTGCGGACTTATAGTGCTAGAAACCGGGTTTCGATACCCGTGGTGAGGCACAGATAGCCCTTTATGTAGCTTTGTGCTTTACTATCTTTTCATATAGATAAATAACATATACGAGGACTGAAATACGAATTGCAGGAGAGAAGCTATATTTCTCGCTCCTTGAGGACAGGTTGTAGTAACCTGGTTTATATATATGTATATATGTATATTAATTTAATATGTTAAAATAAAAGCAACTGCATGCAGTTGGTGATTGTTGGTTTTAAATGAAGGATTTATCTTGTTAAGTAATGTTTAAATATATTATTAAATCGTGTAAATTGCGCACCCTTACTGATGTGTGAATCACATTTCCACAAATACCTGTCTTACTAAAACATATTTTACCATTCCGACATTGTAATTTGTACTTTTAGTATACTTGTCTGTCTTTGGGCCTTTCTGGCTGAAAAGTTACCTGAATTTCAAGGAAATATGTAAAATCCATATATTGCTCAGAGTTCTGTTGCTGGCTTTGGTACAATTCATAACCAGTACTAACACTTCTTGGACTTGTGTTGATCTTTCATAAAAGGTTTACAACAAAGTATCAGAGGACCAGGAACTGCTCACTGACTTGTCATACATTAACGCTGGATGAAGAAGTTGTATTCTTATTGTAAGAATATTATCAGATGAACATTAAATAACGCGGAATTATAGATGGTGTGTTTAGATAGATAACTGGTCTTTTCCATTCTAAACATTGAGCAATTTCACCCAGAATCCTGTAAAGCTCAAACATAAAGTTATATACTTCTGCTTCTAAAATAATTGTTTAAGATTTTAATTTTTACTCAGCTGGTTTGCCTAAATGCAGTGGCATTTTTTATATATTCTTACTCCAATGTAATGCCATTGATAAAGACTTAGATCTAATTACACCGTTTATTATGTCAGGGTTAATATAAATTTTAAACCACAAACACTTATAGATATATTTTGTGAAAACGTATACAGAACAGTTATTACAAACACAACGTACAAAATTATGTTCATATAATTATATCCAGTGCTGTGAACATTAATTCAATTCATGAAAATATTTGTACAAACAACATGATTAGGTAAAAGTCAGGGACCTACAGTTTAAAGACGCAATGCTTCAATCACTTGAATCATTTGGGTGTCAACTACATTTTGCTTTGTATCAGAAGTTTAATTACTATTTTACACAGCCACTATCGTAACATTTTATTCTAAATTCAAAATTACAGAGACTTACTTCAGTTTCGAAAAATTCCCCTCAAAATATTTCCAGACACTGCTGCTAAATATAAAGCTTGAAAACACCGTAAAGATGCATGCAACACCTGTTAAAATATTTAAATCCAGTTAATCGTTCAAATATCTATCTAGTCTCACAAGATAATGAAAAGGCTCATAACAGTCACTATCAACTTTTTCATTAATCTGAAATCTTCTATTATTTTATCAATACTTCCAATAAAAATATCATTGAAAGAGAAACAAACATAATAAACTCAAAATAGTATTTACAAAGTAACTTTTACACAACGAAAGCACTTCAAGTTACCAGAAAATAAAATATTCGGAAAAGGTCTCCTATATATTACTTATATTCTTAGTTAACATTTTCATGTGGATACGCCATTGGATTTATATTAGAATGTGTTCCAGTTAACTGAAGAATTGTTTAGTATTTTAAAATATTAGTAAAACATTTGTGTTATGATGATAAACTATATTACAGAGGATTAATCGCACTTTGTTTAAATGCTTTATATATGTTAATTCAGAGTAATTTTAATGCAGATGCGAAATTTGTCTCCGTCGACGTTTATAGCACATATATATATTTGGTTCACGGCAGTTCTCGAACATTCAACACTGCACTGATGTCACGACCAGGTTTATAGCTAGAGAAAAATGTAAACGTGTTGCCAATGAAAAATATTCATAACGTTAAATGGCACAGAGCTAAAAGACACCATAATAAGAAGGGAGTCCTTCAATGTTCTTCATAGAAATGAAAAAGCTTGCTCAATAGAGCATTTAGGTTCGTAAGTGAAGGAAAAACCACACACTTATAACATTGTCAAAGTGAAAGCTAAGAATGAGAAACTTCTGATCGATAACAGCCATTGCATTGAAGATGGGTATATATCTTAGTGTGCTTAATAAATTAATAAACAAACATTTTAAAATGACGAAAACTCACAAGCTAAATGTTTACAAGCTCTCAGCAACACCTCAAAATCAAATGTTGATTTCATGAGATAGCTAAAAGATAAAGTAAATATCGGCAAACTCATTCGAACACATACCAGTGAAGCCATTCGAGTCAGCTCCAATGACCTATGATGCTTTTGTTCTGCTAAAATGTTCTCTTGGAAGTTGACGTCCTCATAGCTTAGAGTGTCTGAGGAATGTTTGTTAAGATGAGTAGTTCATGAATAATTTTGTTTTTCACGGAAGCTTGTTGCAATGAACATTGTTGTGTCGGGCAATAGTGCATAATCATGGCCATGAGAATAAGAATAATCATGATGAAGGGAGTATGATTAATCTCATTATACATTATATTCAGATCAAACCTAACCCTGATGGGTTTCTTTTATTACAGATGGATGCAAGCAAGCATAAAATACAAGAAAAACAAATTCAAAGCTTTTTTTTTTTTTTTTAAACTTTACCAGTTAGGTACTTTGAACCCAATCTGTGCAACTTCCGAAATTGATGATATATAAACAAAACTGCCATACATCGAATTATCGTCATGATGACAATATCCATGTCCTTATTCAGTACCTGGTCAACAATGCACGTTAAACTTATACATTAAGTTATTAATTAACCAATCAAATTTACACACCTAAAAAAAAACTATAACGTTTTATGGAAAACTATTATATTGATATATTAGGGAAGCTTAAAATGGTTATGAGATATTTTAGTGAACTTTCAACCAACTGAAAAGTTTATTTAACAAAATAATAAACATTGAGAATTTTTTGAATACAATATTTCACATCAAACAAGGAATGTAGGGTGAAAATGATATTGAAAACTTATAAGTAATCTACAATATAAAGAAAAGTCCGGGAAAAAATAATACACGTTCTTATACCTATCATTTCATATGTGTTCTTTATACGTTTCCACATTTCTTGATCAATCAGCACCAAACTTGACACAGTGGTAGAGGATGACATGAGGGGGAGTTGGGTTCCCATCTAATTTCATATTGATATAATTCTTGAAAACAGTGAGTCTTTCTCTTCAGTATTGGTACCTTTATGTATTTGCATTGCACTTTTAATGTTTATTATGTTAAGAAAAATATAGAAGCACAATTTCCTATTTTTGTAACAAACGAGTTTGTATTTCACCCATCCAACAGACGGGTACTCCAGCTAGTTGTTAGAATAAAACAACGTACTCTGACTGGCCACAAAAAACACAAACAAACAAAAACTTCTCACTTCTTTGGGTATTCTCGGGTAAAGATTTATAAGACCGAGTAAGGATAACACTGAAAATAAAGTTGGTGGTGAAATAAAAAAAACAGTTTATTTATTAAACGAAATACAGAGGCATGTATACAAAAAACAAAGACAGCTATTCCTTATTGAGATTGGTTTTTACCAGCAGAAAAAACTGCATTACACTGAATTTGACTCAAGAATTGCAGTGCTTACGCTATATAGAAAACACAATACAGTTATCTCTCCGGAGGCTCGTGCGTTACCCAGGTCACTCTTGGTCATCTTACAACCTTAGTGAACATGAAACATGAAATGTTAACTTTTCTAAACTAAATAGAAAAAAATGCAGAGTATTTCTTTCATATGCCACGCCCTAATATCGAATTACAGCTCCTTTGACTTGGCGTGGCGTAGAGTCCATAAGACAGCAGAAGATGTCTTGTTTGAGTATAGCAGTCGATTGTGGTGGGAAAATGCGAATTTCAAGTTAATCCTGAAGATCTCCTTTGAATTGAGATCTACTGGTTGGGGTGACAATAACTGGTGCCATCGTCATGTTCTTCAAACCAAGTATGGACAATACAAACATGATAGGTTCTTGCATTATTATATAAGAACCCTTGTCCATCAGAGTGGAAATCAGCATTGAGAAAAATACAGGACATTCTAAACGTTATTTATTCATCTTAAAGAAACTTCACCCACACCATTACACTAAATCTAAAAACTTGAACTGTTGGAACAACACAAGCAGGATCAACTTTATTTCTACATTTTTCCTCCATCGAAAAATGTGAATGTGACTCATCAGATCCATTAGTTATTCACTGTCCATTGTATCCACTCTAAACAACACCGAAGTCGTGCGTTCCCATTTGCAGGAATCATTTAATTAGGACATAGGAAGTTTTCATACCTATCCAGTTGTGTTTCTCTCAGTCAGTCATCAGCAGTTAACAGTCATATAATTTTCCACACGTGCACCACTATGATTGCTATTGTTTATAAAATAAACAGCTGGTAAAAAAAATAGGCTTTAATAATAATTATCTTGCTAGGTGGACACATTACTTTGCCAATATAACTTGTCTATGCAAGTACGCGAGAATTATATAAGTGTTCATCTGGGTAAACCTGAAAAAAAATGGCCTGTTAGTGTATTACTGTGGGAGTTATAGTGAAGGATGGTTTTAATTCTGAGTATTTCAGCTGAAGAAAGATATAACATTCTCGATGTATCTTTTAAATCTTTGATCTTAACTGTTTACTCTAATCCTAATTATAAAGTATGTGCCAAATTATGCTCTTTATTCATTACCTAATGTTTTTGCTAACTTAAAGCAGTAACTATATTGCATTATGAATATATATTAGTTCATAAATTTGATGCATTTACTTTATTTTCCTGGATATGAGATACATTAATATCGGCTACGCTATAAATAAATGCGAACTAATTCAAAATAATTTATACAAGTTACCTCAGTGACAGAGCATTGATAATTCCAACCATATATTTTATTATCTACAATTTTAGGTCCCATAGACAGCATGCAAATGGTGAGAGTTGAAAAAGCTACTATTACTTCCCAAGGACGAGAGGCACACAAGTGTCCATGATTATAAAAAAGATCAGACAGCATTATACGAAGACACCTTACAGATCTGAAAGTGAAAACAACAAAGATAAACTTACAATTTACAATTTTTAACGTGGTTAGACATTTCTTATATCTTTAGCTTAAAAATATGAACTTTTCAAAGAATAAAAAATACTTCATATAAATAATATTTATGTTGTGGCATTTTAAAATATTATTAAATGAATATTTTTTTCCAACAACTTAAAATTTTATTGTATAATATCGTGACGTAAATACGTGTTAGATATTTTTTTCACTCCATGTTTAATATATTTTGGGTGATAAGTGACGTTTATTTTGAATATAGGTGTTCAGAGCATTATTTTTGTGCTTGGCTTGGATGGTCTAATTAAAGAAAAGTGATATTGCTACATACATTTATGCACAAATGGAGGTGGGAAATTTATAATTGTGTGTTTAGTTTGAAGCAAATGATATACATACTTTTCCTTATATTAATATCATCAAGCTCATTTACAGTTTGGGTAATGTTTATCACTAGAGAGAAAAATATTATTGTAAATAAGAATGGCGATTCTAGCATGTTTTTAGACAGCCATGGCTGTTGGTTCACCGGCAAATTTACAACACTAAAATCCGAGGTTCGATTCCCCGTGGTACACAGAGCGCAAATAGCCCATAGTGGAGCTTTGAGCTACAAACAGGCATGACTGTTGTGATGATGCAAGTACGATGCAATAATCAAAGGTGCCAAAATTAATGAGGTTTAATTTAATTATCTATACGAATTGAAACACAAAAAATACATAGAAATATGTTAATAGAACACACGAGATGATTTTATGAACGGACTAAATTATGTGTGTTACGTTAACAGTCAGGGAAAACCTCACTGTCCCAGCTAGAAAATACTAGACTAGCTCAGGATAATTGAAAAGATTTTTAACCACCTTATGATCTTTGGTCGTTGAATATGATAACAGAACATACATTTCGATCGTTGGCTAATTGAAAAGAAAGCAAGTTTCGCTTGATTTAGGGCTAATCATATAAGCTAAATGGATGAAGTAGTACTCTTTCGCACAAGTGAGAGCGATTCTATTAATTTACTAAGTGACCTCAATGTGAGCGAAAATTAACCATAAAACTTTCAGTATAACTGACACTTTATAATGATGCTGTTAATATTGCGTTCTTCAGTTACATTAAGACAGATTCAAAGACTAGTTAAACTCTGTTCGGGACAAAATTTCGCATAGAATTATGAGAAAGAGATTTAAAGATAAAACAGTGCTCACAATCTAAACTAACTGATTCAATCAACCTACAAGAAAAATGATATACAGCAATCACCATAATGTAAGAAATTTTGCATTTTAAAATCAAAAAATAACAGTTACTGAGAGATAATACAATATCGTTCCACCGTGTCTGAGTAAAATATTTAGACAAAGTGTAAACAATTTTCCATTTTCCTAAGTTTAAGCTTCAGTCTAATTTCACTCTCGTTTAAAGTTGATGATACCCAATTTTTAGCATCGTAAGCTTGCAGACTTGCCGCTGAGCCATTGGGGGTCATGTATAACTTTGTACTAGTGCCTCATTAGTGTAATCCAGAAACAAAAGTGTCTCCTATTATTGATAAATAAACCTAAGGGTGAAAAGGGAGCAACCAGAACTAAATATTGGAAGTGTGGGTTACATCTGAAATCATGCAGATAAAACTGTATAATGGAAAACGAGTGTTTTTTACTGAATGAGTATTCAAGGTAATTGTTTTTAAATAAACACTTCAATCCTACAGTTCCAGACATTATTTTAAATGATTCGACTCACTTTATTAAATTAGTATCTACTTTAAATTCTACGGGAGAACGAAGATTCAAAACTTTTTTTTATTACAATTAAAGAAGTACGGCTAACTTTCCAATGAATTGTTTAATTTTCACGGCCTTCAAATTAATAGCCTACCGAAGATCCAAAAACCAAATGCTCCGTTATATTTCATCGCTCGATCGAACAGCGGTAAGTCTATGGACTTACATCATTAAATCCCGGGTTCGATTCTCAACAGTAGACACAGCAGATAACCCAATGTGGCTTTGATCTAAAATAAACAAACCGTTACGTCCTATTGTTTCCGCGTATAAATCTTACAATTATAAGCTTGGAAAACTCTTAACTTGGATATTTGCCCTTTATGTCACAAAAGCTTCATTTTCAAACAAAATCAGAAAATTTTTTCAGTAAGTTAAATGATTTCGAATCTTGTGTTTTTGTGGTTAGTTTTGAGCTAAAAAATATTTTTACATAGCTGCCGGTTGATGAAATAATTAACGGTGCACTGTAATGATATTAAAATAACTCCAATCCCAGATCCTGTTGGTATGTTTCTGTGAACGAATTCTTTCGTTTCTCAGTAGATCGTACAAATTTTCAATTTTAAGGTGTTAATTATGACCAAATCAAAGGTCTAAGTATGGTAAATCCAGTTTCGTCTATTTTAGCCAATATATTTATGATCAAAATACAATTAATTGCTATTTCGACTCAGTGGCGTAGCAAGGGTTCTCAGCATCCTGGGGCAAAGACACTTTTGGCGCCCCCACCTCTGTTTATTTGTTTTGTGATTCATTACCCACTTAATGACAATAACATAAAGAATTAATTACCGCCTTACACAGGCCTAAAGTTGCGATATTACAACTGTAAACCTGGAACTAATGAAGTATAGCCTACTAGGTGTTCTTACATAATTTATAAACCATTTTGATATTTATAACATCCAGTATTGTTCAAAGT